ATTGACCAATTTTTATTTTTTAGATCTGTCACATAGAAAACTTGTTTAGTTTAGTTTGCTATGATAAATGGCTCATCCCCATAAGTTAGTTTTTTAAGATCAACCATTGTAAATCCTAACTTATCATTATAAACACTATTGATGTCAACCCATTTGCATTTGAAAATAGGAACTCTAAATTTTGTATAATCAACCTCCCAAATCTCTTCAATAACCCCAAAATAAGTCCTTACTGCTAGTTTAGGTTTCTTATCTTTTGAGCTAGAGAAGTGAACGGCTTCAGCCACTATCATAATCCCACTATTTTGCACTGTACTCTTTTCATCTAAGGACTTTATGTAGAAAGAATACCCATTAATATCATACGCACTCCAACATATAACATCAAAGTTAGGACCTCCTGCCAACCATTTAATTGTATCAGAAACGCTACTTTCATTCAAAACTTTCTACTTGAACCAATCTACAAAAGTCTTATTATGCTCTTTCAACAACCATTGTTCAGTCATTCTCATTCAATAATTTTCTGCCTTTAGAAGTTCTTTGTGAGAAGAAATGTATTCTTTAACTTCATCAATATTATTCAAGATATATAAATGTACTTCTTGTAATTCATCATGACTCATGCTCTTTACTGATACTCCACGTGTGCCTTGACCTAATTTCCTCTTCTCACGACGAGATTTAGGAAGTCCAATTGATTCTGTACTTGACAAGTAATTAGAACAAAATTCTATGGCTTCTTCGGCAACATATTTTTCAACTATCGATGCTTCAGGTCGATATGGATTCTTGATATACCCTTTTAGTATTTTCATGTATCTCTCAACTGGGTACATCCATCGTAAATAAACAGGGCCACACAATTTTACCTCCCTCACTAGATGCACTATTAGGTGAACCATAATGTCAAAAAAAGTAGGAAGAAAGTGCATCTCAAGTTGGCACAAAATCATACAAGCTTCTTGTTCTAACTCTTTTAGTTTACAGGGATCTATAACTTTACTGCATAAAGTATTGAAAAAGAAACAGAGTCTAGTTATTGTAAGTCTTAAATCTTCTTTCAATATACCTCGAATAGCCAAAGGTAATAGTTGTTGCATCAAGACATGGCAATCATGAGACTTTAAGCCTACTAGTTTCAACTCTTTTACAGACACAAGCTTCCCAATATTTGAAGAATACCCTGAAGGAACTTTAATTCCATGTAAACAACAACAATAACAACAACAACAACAAGCCTTTATCCCACTTTTAATTCCATGTAAACATTTACAAAAATTTATTTTCTCAAACTTGCACAATGTATGAGAGGCTGGGGGATAATGTTCGCTTACCTTCTGGTCTCGGGTGTAAATCCTCTCGTATTCCCATTTCTTTCAAATCTAATCTTGCGTTTACACCGTCCTTGGTCTTTCCTAGTATGTTCAAAAGCGTTCCAATAATACTATCATACACGTTTTTCTTCACGTGCATAACATCAATACAGTGCCTCACTTCAAGATTGTCCCAATATGGAAGGTCAAAAAAGATAGACCTTTTTTTCCTTGCACCAATGTTCTTTTTAGTCTTACCGAAGATAATATTGATATCTTTCACTCGTTCAAATACTTGATCCCCAGTCAAAGCATCCGGAGCATGATTGTGCTCTTGGTGACCATGAAAAGCTTTCTTTAATTTACGACAAGGGTGATCTCATTTAAGAAACCTCCGATGGCCAAGGTAGACTGTCTTCCTTCCATGTTGAAGTTGATGATAGTTTGTGCTTTCTTCACAAATTGGACAAGCTTTATGACCTTTCACACTATAGCCAGACAAATTCCTATATGCAGGAAAATCATTTATAGTACAAAAGATCATAGCATGTAACTTAAAATTTTCCTTCCGATTTGCATCAAACACTTCCACACCTACCTCCCACAACATTTTTAAATCTTCAATTAGAGGTCTTAGGTAAATATCAATATCATTTTCAGGTTGTTTTGGTCCTGAAATCAACATGGATAGCATCATGTACTTCTGTTTCATGCACAGCCGAGGTGATAGGTTGTAAATCACCAAAAGAATAGGCCATGAACTATGTATACTACTGAGACTACCATAAGGATTCATTCCATTAGTAGAAAGTCCGAGCCTCAGGTTTCTTGGCTCATTACTAAATTCAGGAAACAATTGATCAATTTTCTTCCACTAAGGAGAATCGGCTGGATGTTGAAGTTTTCCATCATATATCCTCTCATTTACATGCCACATCAAGTTCTTCGCATCATTAGTATTTGCAAACAAGCGCTTGAACCTTGCTATAATTGAAAGATATCATAAGACCTTTTCAGGAGCCCTCTTCTCTTTGTACCGTGGTGCCTCACATTTCGAACACTTCTCCTCCCCTTCAAGCTCTTTTCTGTACAACACACAATCATTAGGGCATGCATGTATTTTTTTATACTTCATACCCATTAGACATAAGATCTTCTTGGCATCATAATAACAATTTGGTAGTACATTGCCTTTCGGCAACATTATTTGAAGTAACTCTAGCAACCAAGTGAAACTTTGGTCACTCCACCCAGCTCTTGCCTTTAAGGTAACCAGTTTTAACACCCCAGATAACAAACTAAAATCAGTGCACCTCGGGTATAGAGGCTTCTCCGCGTCAGTGCACAAGTTATCATACATATGTGCTCGTTCAAAAGCTTCTTCCCCCATATTACGGATAATGTCCTCTAACTGATCTTCATTCATATCTATTTCATCATCCAGATTATCAATTTTCACATATTGAGACGTGTTATTATAATTTTTCAATCGTTCACCATGCCAAATTCATACTGTATAATTCTTGCAAATCCCATCATAAATCAAGTGCTCTCTTATTTCGACAGCATCTAATCTCCTCTCATTCGAGCAATTAACACAAGGACAATAGAACCTTACACTATTGTCAACAACATTTTTCTTAGCAAATTCTAAAAATTCCTTTACCCCATTATCATACTCATCACTCGTTCGTCTAGCATTCATCCAACTACAATTCATATGTCAACTCCTAAAGAATATACTAATGTTAAAAATTTGACCTTCTTAAAAATGACCACATGCAAACAACTTGATGAGGCTTTCTTAAAAACTAAATTTAAGCAATTCAAGGGAAAAGAATGAATTTTAAAAAATTTTGACATAGTCTCCCCTAAAAATTGGACCTCCCAAGACTTTTAAAAAATTTTAATAGAGAAAATTGATAATTTTAAACCAAATTGATGATCACATACAACAACTTAAGGATTTATAAATCCACTAACAGCACTCCCAACAATAATCAATATCATTATCATCATATATATATACACATATCAACCTAATAAATTAACAAAAAAATACAATCAAATAAAAAATTATCTTTATAAAAATTAAGAGCCATACCTAATCAATCAAAAGTGGCGACAGTAACAAAAGGAGGAGCAAGCAGGAGGAGGAGGAGGAAGAGGCAGTAAAGGCAGGGGGAGGGAATGGCAGTAGAAGGGGGAGGGGTGTGGGGGCGGGGGCCGAGGGGGGTGGGGAGGGGGTGCTGTGGACAATGGGGGCGAGGGCCGAGGGGGGAGGGGGTGGGGGCCGAGGGGCTGGGGAAGGGGAGCGGGGGCCGAGGATGGGGGGCAGCGGGACTGGGGTGGGGACGGGTGCTCGGGGGAGGGGGACGGGGGGGACAGGGGTGGGCCGAGAGGGGTGGGGACGATGGAGTATGGGGAAGGGGGACGAGGGAGGGAAGCACGAATGAGTGTTCTGAAGGCACAAAAATGAGGGAGGAGAAGTGCGGAGTTTAGAAATAAAAAAAAATTGAACCACTTTCTACAGCGGGTGGCTTGTACCCTTTGTAGAAAAGCATGTTTTCTACATCGAGTGGAAGCCACCTGCTGTAGAAAACCGTTTTTTTTCCACTTGCTGCAGAAACTCTATTTTCTACAGCGGGTGTCCATGCACCCACTGTAGAAAGTATTTTTAACAGCGATTGCCTTTTCACCCAGTGTAAAAACTATAATACACATTGCAAAAATTACAAAAATGCCACCGCCTTAACTTTCTACATCGTTTGCCTTTCAATCGATATAGAAAGTGCCCCTTGAATTTCATATTTTGTACTAGTGTGGACATCTCCACTATCCAGCTTTGGTCTCACCCAATCGCATATATGACAACTGTGGCCTGATGTTCCAATTATTGCTGGGCGACTAGTTATTAGCTCTAACAGACAGATCCCAATACTATAGACGTCACTTTTTTTATTCAAGTTTCCCTAGGAGTTGAAATTACTTTTGCAATATTAATTAGTCATTGATGAAATCACTTTTGCTCTGCAATATGTTTATCTTTAAACTTGTGGGTTATTTTAAAAGTTGCAATTGTATATCTTTGATATTCTTGTAATCTCTCTCTCTTCAATGACACCAATATGCACTCCACCGTAACAAAATCATTCCAAAGTTGAAGAAAAAAATGTCACTTTTCTTCAATATTCACAAGAAGTAACGAAGTCTGCAAAAGATCAAGTAATCAATCTTGGCTTATATATTTTGGCTTAGTGAGATGTTAGATGTCTTCACGTCTCTGTCAATTAGAGGTGCATTATTTCCATTATATATGTAGGTAGATCAATCCGGTAACTCCATAATGGGAAAAGAACGAATTGATATATATATATATATATCAAGGCATTTTGCAAACCATCTGCCATATCTACTGCAATTTGAAGTCTTCTTTCCACTTCAAGACATGAGTTTTTCAGACAAGAAAGAAAGGAACAAAAACAAAAACTTCAGCATACAATGGAAATGGTTTAGTGCATGTCATTCACAAATTTCTTCATCTCATGCACCAGCCTAACCTTGGACAAAGAGGCATAATAGAAATATACCAAAGAACCGGATTACTTGACTGAACAAAACAAATCTCCCTGGTTGGATTGGACAATCAACTTCGAAGAGACAGATTGGCTCTGCAAAATAATCCTACCTGGCATATGGAGCTAAATCTGATTCAGACTGAGAAAAACTGATGCTCAATGCAGAGCTAGAAATTCCAGAGTTGCTTTCTGCATTTTCAAGGGATATTTCTAGAGCCAAGCATTCCCTTAACTCAGCTACTACAAGACTAATGTCAGGCCTTTGGATTGCAGTTGGTAGAACGCAAGACATGGCCATCTCTAAAAACCTCCATGCTGAAGCTGTATTGAATTTTCCCTCTAGTCTTGGATCCATAATGGATTGGATATCCCCACTCCTTAGCTTTGGAGTGACCCAATCCGCTACATGACTTGTGTTGCCAGGCATTCCTATCATTGCTGGTCGGCCGGTCATCAGCTCAAGTAAAATTATCCCAAAACTATAAACATCACTTTTCTTATTCAAGTTTCCAGAGCTATGGAATCTGTAAATTGTGAGATTAATTAGCCATTGAGGAAGTTTCATTTATATGTAACATTAGATGTGTTCAATTGGTGAAAATGCCATTTACAAGCCATTATACTATCCTTTGTTAAAGTTTGAGATGTATGTAAGAATTTTCTATTTTGAAAAAAATAAATAAATCTTATTCAGATTTCTGGCATTATGGAATATAAAATTTTAGCATGACCATTAGACATCAAAGAAATTAAGTTAAGCAAATGAGTTCTTTCAGGCACAATAATAGGTACATCTAACAATTTGTGGATGATTTTGGGTGTAATACTGGATGTGTTTAAAATGCTATCTAGTATTTACAAGCTATCCTATTAAGTTTTCTAAAGTCTTTGATAAATTGCTCTAAAATTAATCAACAAATTGTTCCCATCAAGGATAATTAAGAAATCTAGAAATTAGAAGCAACATACTCAGGATCAAGGTAGCCTAATGTGCCAGCAGGGCGAGTTGAAAAATGAGTGTCAAAATCATTGAAGAAAGCCCTAGACAGTCCGAAATCAGCAATCTTGGCTTGCATGTTTTTGCTTAGCAAAATATTGGAAGTTTTAATGTCTCTATGGATTATTGGTGGCTTACAACCATTATGTAGATAGTCCAATCCTGCATTTTCATTGAGCAACATGAGACTTTCTTAAGCTAAAATAAAAGGAAAAAGAATAAAAGCAAAGGAATATGGATAACCAATGCCAAGAAGGGGAAAAATTAGCTTACACACCATATGAGGCATCCAATGCAATATGAAGTCTCTCATTCCATGTCAAAACATACGCATTCTTATCTGCAAAATATTTAGGTTGTGCGAAAAAACTATTATGCATCCTCACAATAACTAAGTAATTCTATAACCTACTTTCCAACCTTTTGCAGAAATATCATGTCAACGTAATTTGAAAGACATCACAGAATCTTGGAAACTATATGGGCTTTATTGGCGTTACCCATGACATGCTTGCTGGTTCTTTCCACCTGATTTGATTTATAATGTTGGAAATGTAATTTATTACTTTCTAAATGTTAAAGTTTGTTTTGTCTATGGACTTAGAAAATTGAAGCTCAAGTATCCAGGTAAGTTTATGTTGTTCTTTTTTTTTTGGGGGGGGGGGAGGATTTAATTGATGGCTCATGAAGCTTGAAGTTGAAAGTCATCTAGTGTGCTATCTAAACCACCTAAAATTAGTCATTCAGTTTGATAGGTTCCAACATATTGCTGCCACCAAAACACTTAGAAGAGAAAACATATAAGGTAAGGACCGAGCAAGACAGAATAGAGGAGCAAAACGTGGTAGTCATGATGACGACACAAGTGAGAAGAACTTTGGTAAGATAATTGTTGGAGAGAGCCAACCTCCAGAAAGTTGGCAAAACTGCTATGTATATGAGGTTCTTGTTCTGCTTTGTTGGCTGTTGGAAGTGTGTGTTCACGGTGTCCTTATCAGCATCATTTGTAGTATTTGTATGGTTCAACATTCTGCAGCCGAGGGATATCCATAATCTCTGTGGACTTAGTTTCTGTCCAATACGTCACCACTATAAATCTAAACCGTTCAGATAAAATTTTAACGATATAAATTAATCTGTACTTTAAAAATTGTTCAATCTAAATCATCAAATTCAATCTGATGGTCTAAATTTGTAGTGTTCTCTCCAGTAGTGGAAAGAAATCACCTCCAACCTTTGCACCATTCTGTTGGTGGCTGTATATTTATATTTTTGGTGTAGAAGGAATATTGGGTTGGATCTGATAAGCTGATGTAATATAATATTTGTCCAGTGGAATGGTAAAAACTCAAGCTTTCCTGGCTGGTTTGCTTTCCGTTTATATTGTTCCGAGTTCTACCTAGAAATCTCCAGTCGTTCCTAACAAAGTTCTTTTTCTCTAAGAAATATCCATCTTTCTTCTTGCAAAAAGGCATAACTGGTTGTAAAATATGCCGAGAGCTATATATGTGAATGGAAGTGCATTGAAGCGTTTCCCTCCAGTGGATCAGAATTTCAATTTTGGAATGTTCTGGCCAGAATATGGAGCAAATGAAGATTTGAGTAATAGATATGAACCTAATTAATCAAGATGTCGATTCATTAACCTCGTTTTTTTTCCCCTCAGATCAATGTCTCGATAAAGCCTATCACAAACTTTAACCCAAGTTAAAGAGAAAATAAGCTCTCTCCTATTCTTACTTGTATGACACCGAATTTAATTTCACTTACTTTCCTATTTGTAAATTGGGAGAGTTAGAACTGAGATTAAACTATGCTATCATTGTGATGATATTTGGAATGTAAACCTTAACAAACCTGATAATTTGTGTCGAAGATCTCCTCCATTCATATATTCATAAACCAGTGCTTTCACGTCACCATCATCACAATAGCCAGTAAGAGAAACCAAGTTCCTGTGATGAACAATCATCAAAAGTTCTGCCTGCATGTTGAACCTTAGATCATCATATATCTAAGCAAATTAATGTTGTCATATCATTTGAAGGATAAGATTCAACTTCAACATCAATGATCAATGATTTTTGCTTCTAACCTCAGATTGGAATTCCTTAAACCCTTGTTGTGATGACTTGGACAGTATCTTTACCGCAACTTGTGTATCATCTTGAAGTTTACCAAGGTACACTTTTCCAAACCCCCCTTGTCCAATCACAATTTCAAAGTCATTGGTCATGCTAACAACTTCAGAGTGATTAAACGCTCGATTCTTTGATTTCAGTTTCCCATCTTTCCCAGATGAAGTATACTTCACTACAACAATGAACATAAAATTCCAATAGCATCAAATATGCATAATTGGATGTGAGTTATATAAGAAATACATACCCCTTCTGTCCTAAATGTAGGAGCTAGATAACTAATTTGCAGAAATTAAGAAAATTAGTTAAGTCAGTTATTTGTAAAATACGTGTGCTGGTTTCCTAAAATACCTCTTCTAATCATTTACATTGAAAACTACTCCTATTGATGGAAACCCTCCTTTCAATATGTGCAATCAATGGGTATAGTTTGCGGGAAAAATTATAATTTGAGAGAAAAATTGTATTGAGGTCTTATCTTTATGATAATAGTAAACCCTTCAACTAGTTCCTATGCTTAGAATCGGAGGGAGTACAATAGAATGTTAAAGCAACTTGAATTAAAATAAATGCCTCCAATGGTTCATAACAGGAAAATAAATAAAAAAAGAAGAAAAATGTAGGTGTAAGCTCACCTAGGTGACCTTCCATATCACCTCGTTTTTTCCTTTTGTATTTGCAGAATATCACAAGAATGCAGACTGCTGTCACAAGAACAACTACAGAAGCTACTACAGATGCAATCAGTGTTATAATGGTCTTCTGTGTTTTCTTTAAGCAAGAGTCTACCAGCCAGAGACCTGGATTTGCATCCAAACTAGGAAAAAAATAACATCAAGGTGTAAGTGTTAGTCGTACAAAATGATCTGTCTATTAATAATTAGAATTTGGCTTTCATGATATTGATAATATCATACATGAAGATTGCTCAAATGAAGACTGCTAATATGTTTTATGCTAAACATCAAAAGTAAGGGAGAAAGAACAGAACAAAATCTTCTGAATATTTCACAATCCAAACAGAAGAAAAGCCATCATATACAGACAACGCAGCTGCAAAGGAATGATATATATATATATATATATATATATTTTTTTTTCAGTTTTACGCAGAGTATGTGCAAACCTTAGTGTCAAAGTGGTACCGGACTTCTCCCTTAGAGCCTTGGGAATTGAACCTGTGAGGTTATTTCCTGTCAAATTACTGCAAATACATCACGTGAGAAACATTGCAAGACTTTATGAACAGTAATGCTGTTGCTGTCACATTGCAACTTACAGTAATTTCAAATTTGGCAGTTCTGCTAGAAATGAAGGTATTTCTCCAATCAATAGGTTGTTAGACAAGTCCCTGCAACACGAGACTTTCCATTAGTTGGATGAAATTATTACATCAGAGTTATTGTGCCTTGTGAACATACAAGGGAAAGTTTCTACCTTGGATAATGAATTTGACTAAAAAAAATGCGAGTAGATTACTTGAATACTTACAAGGACTCCAACTTTTGGAGATTGGAGAATGAAGTATTTATCTCTCCGATCAGATTGCCTGAGCTCAAATTCCTGCTTATATTTTGTCAGGAATGGACATTTTTCTATAATGAACACAAGTAAAAAAGAAAGACACTGGAAGTCACAAAATAGATAAATTCATTATTTTCTGCTACGAAAATGATATTGACATGTCAATAATCAGCAGAACAGCAGAGTAGAGTCCCCAGCGAAAATGTTTGACTTTTCGGTAGAGTGTCTAATTCCACCAATGTTATCATGTCTAAAAACTCCGGGGAAAAAAAAGAGAAAGATTAGAAGACAACTCACAATGAAGTGACCCTTGGAATGCTGTCAGAGTTGCAAGTCAGACCTTCCCATCTATAATCTATTGGCATGCAGGGATCTCCTTGCCAGTCGATTCTTTTGATGTCATAAGCATGCTTGATGTTTTGCATAGCCTTGACTGTCATTTCAAGCAGAGGTAGCGTTTCAGGGTTTAGTATGCAATCATAGTAGTTAAATCTGAATCAAAGAGCCTTGTGTTTTAGCACCTGATAAAAGAAGTCCCCAAGAGAACATAAAATATGGAACTAGTAAAAGAATGATGGTTTTGGCTCAAAAAATAGACCAACGTAAGAAAGTAGACTACAACGAGCAGTCGTTTTTCGATGGGGAAAAGGATAAGAATAATATAATGAAATAAAACGATAAAGGTACTTGCCATCTCCTTCATTAGTTGATGAATTAGGCTGGGGCAGTACTTTATAAACCTCATAAGCATTGATCATGGGAGGTAAACGAGAACTTGGCAAGGACGTGATTAAAATATTATCGGGAGAAACTCCCTTCTCAATTATCTTAAACATGGTATGGACTGCTTGTGTTCAAGAGTTACGTTCTCTCGGATCGTATCAGTGAAAGCAATTTCCATGCTTCTTTGTTGATTCTCATGCGCAACAAAGTCGAAAAAGTGAAGGTAAACATAATACTCATAACCCTCAAGGTAATCCCAGTTGATCAATAAGTTATCATTCGGTGATTGGATCGCAGTTCTCAACACTTCATATGGTAGTTTGTAGGCTGTTGAATCACTTTCAATCGCATCTGATGTCATGATCGGCATTGAGTTGTCGATCGTTTTATTGAACCAGGACCTACCATAAACATCGTCAATATATCTGCATTATCATTTGAACAGAACATGTTAATGAAGTTTGGAATATACATCTTCCAAAAATATTATGCAAACGAAGAAAAAGAAAAAGCCCTTGCATACGTGCAGATGTAGAAAAATTAAGATGACAAACGAAGCAGGATTATCAAATATCAACATAAAAATGAAAAGTACAGGGAGTTGCTGGCTTCACAACGTTGAACAGTACTAGATAAATAGAGCAAGTAGGAAAACGTCAAAAGGTAGATCAAGTCACCTGATGAAAACAAAATCTTCAGTCATGCCCAGGTTAGGACGTGAGATGAGTTCGAGCGGGAGTGAACTGGACATGGGCTGATATAGAGAATTCAACAAAGGCCATAGCTCTAACAAGGAAATGAACGGCGCCCCCCCGCCTGTGTTTACCAGACACACATCAATGTTGTCAGTCGGGGCAACATGAATGACCTCGGATCGTGTAATATAATCGGATCTTTGCAATGAAATTGTTGTCCAGTAATTGACGCCAAGATGCAAATCAAACTCTGGAGTTGAATTTTTGTTGTCATAGTTTCCATATTTGAAGAAAGCCCTGATGAGATATTTGTTATTTTTGCCTTGTTTGGGTTTGAGTGTATAGCAGTTCCTTTGCCCTTTTGGAAAGCTTCTCAAGGTGTTCAGTTGCTGCCCAATCTGCTCGTCTTTACTTGTCAAGATGTACTCAGAAGATACATTATGTATTTCGCCAGATTCTGCAAACTGTGAACCATCTGCCTCATAATAAAAATCATTGACCTCGTCCCGACTCTCCTGCTGTAACCCACAGTCGATGCTTATCGCCCCTGAATTTGCACCATATGCAACAACTTGTGCTGAGTTGCTAGTAATGATGACTGAAACAAACACAACCAAGGCCAGAATCCACAGTGGTGTGCCCTGCATCGTGTTTTCAAGTTTTGAGGAAAATAGAAGTAGAGAAATGAATTTGGTAGCTTAAATTATTTGCTCTGCATGTTTTCAGAAGACAAGAGTGAGTATATATATAGAAATGTTATGAAAAAGGCACTCAGAGGCAACAACATTTGAACCTATTACAGAGGACGACGACGACTTTTCTATGCTTGTTGGACTTCGTCTAAATTAACTATAATTAAAAAAAAAAAGTAATTATTTGATCCACATAATTTCTCTTAACATTTAATTTAGTCATTTTTTCAAAAATTCCTTTCATATTAATAATTATAACTTATTTCAAAAGAACAAAGTTGACTGGACTTGGACTTGGTCTAAATTTGTTTTTCCCCTTGGACATCTGTTGGGTCCCTTCTTCTATAAGTTTCGGCAGTGCTTAACACGCTTAGCAGCCAGTAGTGCCTATTGGCCTGGCTAGTGGCATGGGCGCTTTCGAATGAGAAAGGTTGCAGGATAGAACCAAGGAAGGTTCGAATAAATTTGGTGAAAGGGATGTGTAAGGCCTTTCCTGTGGAGAAAGTATAGGGGAGTGATAAAAAAAAACACGCTTAGCATGACTACTTTTTTTTGTTTGGGGTGGGTGGGAATCTGAATAACAAGGGGTTTTATCATAATCGAGTTGGGTCAAAGATTATTTAAGTATGTGAACAGAAAGTTGTCTCAGTGATATAACAACCTCTCTTGTTTGAAAAAGGCCTCAATTTAGAATCCAACATTGTCATGTTTACACATGTGTATGTTTAATTTGATTGTATGAAAAACAAAAGATTTTTCAAGCATATATGGAGCCACTGGAACCTGTATCTGGCATATACAGCGCAGTCAAAACAATCTACATGGTTTTAAGTAAGTGAAAATGTTATATGAAATAAACAGATACATACAAACTATGATTCTATGACAAGCTGAGCCTATGAACTAACTAATATATTGTAACCAATGTTATGGGAATTGAACAAGACCAATTTATTGAATTAGTTAAATCAAGAACCGTTCCAATGTTTGTTCTAAATATCATAAAAAACCGAAAGTGCAAAGAATTGGTTGAACCAGCCTTAATCCGATCAAAATCAAGAGAACCAATGCTTAGCGGTTTGAACCAGTCACATATTTTTTCTTATTTTTTAGTTTCTAATAATTTAATCGATATTTCTAAACTACAATTCATGCGCACGCACACACCAAATAAATATAGAAAATAAAGAAAAATGACCAATATATAGGACATATGTCAATATGCATTATATTGGATGAAAATAGTAGAGTATTGATGGATATTTTCTTTTTTGACCATAGTTTTTTTGATTTAAATATTTATTTTTTATTATTATTATGGATGATTATTTTTTACTAATTTAAAGTGTATAAAATATATTAATTTATTCATGAATTGTTTAATGACCATTAAATAATGAATAAAAGTTTTTGCCAGTTCAATAATAAACGGTTTTGACTGTGAGAAGTTATTATGATTTCTTTGCTTTACTTTGTTATTATTTTGGAACAATGACAATAAAGTTCCAAAGGATTAATTTTATACCAGTTAAGTCTCAAGTAATTATAAAAGGCCAATAAAGTCCCATGCTGTTTTCACAAATCATAGTTATGATGAAAATGACAAAAATGCCCCTATGATTAAATATAACATGTACACATATCAGCTTCAGCATTTCCCTCTCAATGTGTCTCTTTTCCGCCATTAATGAGAGTTGCATGTAGTGGTGGAGCTGCACGTTGAAGAATACCATTCCTAAAACTAGGGGTGTTCAACTTGGATTCGTCCCGATTGGCCTGGTATTGTCCCGATCATATTAGGACGGGTCTTGTCCCGGCCTAAAAATAATCGGGACGAGACTTTACGGGACAGGATGGGATAGGAAGGGGGTTCGAGACGGGACGAGACACAAGATTACCAATGGGATGTCCCATCCTGTCTCGAATATTATATATATTATTTTTTATTTTAAATATATTAATTATAGTAATATAATTTATACTTATATTAATTATATTAATTATAATTTCAATACTGGCAATTCTTATTTAAAACTAAAGTTTTTTTATATTGATAATTTTAATGACATGGAGTAAATATGACAATATCTTTCTTTATAATATATTAATTATATTAATATAATTTGTTCTTATATCTATCTGTTTAATAACTTTTATTTATAACGTATTTCTTATTTTATTTTTAGAAGAGTAATTAGCTTAGTACATCTTTACTAAAGTAGAAGAATAATGATTTGATGTTGTACTTAACTTGCCTATTGTTGCTACTCTTATAGCATAAAGATCACTTGTATTTGCTATTATAATGTGTAGTTGTGATTAATATAATTTAATAATTGACTTTAAATTGTTGTGATTTATGTACTTGTGTTATTTTAATTTTAAACTTAATAAATTATATGATTTAAAATTTTAATGAACATTATTATCTAAATCTTTCTCTAATATTATCCTATTTATTAGGATGGCGGGATGTCCCAATCTTGTCCCGATCCCGTCCCGACTTCTAATGGGACTGGACGACATTCGGGATAGGATGAGACATGGGATTAAAATTCAGTCCCGATCTTTTTTTCAGGGCAGGATATGGGACGGGAGTGTCCTGGTCCCGTCCCGTCCTGTGAACACCCCTACCTAAAACAGAATTGTGCTTGGAAAAAAGTGGAGTTGCCTTAATTATTGACTTAAGGAAGCTCTTATTCTCTGTTGAGTTTGTTTGGCTGGTGCGTTTAGACAGGTTTTTTTTTGCAAATCCCTGCATTTAAACAAAAAGGTTGACTCCATTAAGGTCTGATTTCTTGCAAAATGGCTCTCGTAATGAAAAAGATAGAATGCTTTTTTGCAACTGAACATGAAAGATTTTTTTATTTCACATTTTTAAAGATTTGGCATGAAAATTTGACATTTTACAACTGAAAATGTAAGAATTTATCATTGAGTGTCCATATTTTATTATGGAATATTGTCACTGTCTCACTGATGTAAAAATCACTTATGTCAAAAGTAACTTGTTTTTAGGTGATATATTATTACATTTTATTTTATTTATTGTAGGTTGATATTATTGGGTATGATGGAAAGTAGTTGTTTAAAGAAAATTTTTGTTATTTTCATTTTGGTGGAGATATCATAAAAAATATGTATGGGACAATGCATTATGATGGGGGAGTTGTAATGAAGAATGATCAGAGAAGAAATGTCTCTTAAAGGACTTGTTAAATTGATTTCATCATGCTTGAATTGTGATTTAAATGGAATAGAGTTGAAGTACACAGTAAAGTTTGATTGTAATGTTCTTTTAGACCTTAAAGATGATGAAAAGATAAATCAATTAATGAAATTGAATGATAATTTTGCTCATGTGTACATCATTGGGAAGATATAGCAAAATATAGAGGCAACAAGAGATTCAATTGATAGGTAAGTTTTTTTTAATAGGTGCATGATTAATATTATGCTAATATGAATGTAAATGGTAGTAATAAACATGATTTGAATGGAAATGCAGAGCAGGATGTTCAGCTGGGAATTCACATGCTGCACAAGATCTTGAAGTTTTACCATGTGCAATACAAAGTATCCCAACACCAATGCCTGAGCTAAATGCAATAAAGTAGAAGGATTTGCTAGTAAGACCTAAGCATATTTTTGCGAGTGCTGATGATTGTAGACAAGCAATCTATAAGTATAGTATTGCATATAGGTTTGAATATAAATTTGTGAAGAATAACATAAATAAAATAATTACAGTTTGCAAGGAAAAAGGATGTTAATGGAAGATAACAGCATATTCATTAAGGAAGTCAATGCCCTTACTAACAACTTTCAAGAATGAGCACTTACATTCTGCCTAAGAAGACCTTGAAGTTTCTTACAATACAAGGTGCACACTGACTTCATCTATAATTGATGACGTAGTAAGGTCTAATGTGGAAAAAAAAACCAATGAAATTAATGCTGACATATATAGAGACTATGGCATAAATCTAACTTATCATTAAGCTTTAAGAGTGAAAGAGAGGGCATTGGAGGAAATAAATGGGCTTCCTGACCAATCATATATGCTTGTTCCTTGGTTGTGTAATAGATTAATGGAAACTGATGCTGACATTGTAGCAAAATGGGTGGCTTTTGAGAACAATAGATTTGAATGATTATTTATTTTATATGGTTGTTCCATCAAAGGATTTTTGCTTGGGACTAGGCCTATTTTATATGTGGACAGATGTTTCCTCAATAGTCCTTATCGGGGTACCTTACTGGCAGCTTCAACATACGATGCCAATAATGAGTTGTTTCCATTAGCTTTTGCAATAGATGGTAGTGAAACTCACAATGATTGAACCTGGTTTCTGTAAAATATTAAAGATATCATTGGTCCACTACAGGTAATTATTGTTTCTGATAGAAATAATGCTATTATTAGTGCTGTTAGAGCCATATTTGGTGGCGATAGACATGCATTTTGCTATCGACATGTCAAGGAGAATTTTAGTTCTGAGTTTAACAAAGTTTATAGGGGAATAGGAAGGAAGAACAAGGAAGAGGCACTAAAATTGCTTGATCACATTGCCTATACAAGGCATGAGCACGAATTTCATATAGCCATGAGAAATTTGAGGATGTTCTCTCCACAATTAGCAAGATGGGTTGAAAATCAAGACGATATTGATTGGTAGGCACTATCATTGTTCCCATTTCGAAGATGGGATAAGATAACAACTAACTTGACCGAATCATTCAATGCATGGATTCTTGAGGAAAGGAGGCATAATATATGTGTTCATATAAACAAGTATAGAGACAAGTTGAGCAAGAAATTTTTTACAAGTAAGGCAGCCATAAGTAAGTGGAAAAGTATAGTTGGTCCAAATGTTGAAGCAAAGTTGAAGGAAAATATTTTCAGGGCAGAAGTTATGATAGTTCAGCTGTATGGCTCACATATTACATTGGTT